TTTTTTTACAATGAGGGTGGTGAAACACTGGCACAGGTTTCCCAGAGAAGGGGTAGGTGCCCCATCCCTGGAAACATTCAAGGCCAGGTTGGACGGGGCTCTGAGCAACCTGATCTAGTTAGCGGTGTCCCTGCTCACTGCAGGGGGGTTGGACTACACGAAGTCTAAAGGTCCCTTCCAACTCAAACTACTCTATGATTCTGTGATTCTATCAATATTTCTTTGATACTATGTCTTTTTTCTGTCCTGTAGCAACTTGCACGACATCCTACTGAAGTCAGTCCTACTTTTTCAGACTATTCCATAAATTTTTCAAAACCAAATTCTGTCCTCCAATGTATCTGCAATTTCTTCTAGCTTCACTGTAAAATTTGACAAGTACACTTTTATTCTATCTTCCACATCATTAGGAAAATAGGTAACAGCACAGAACTCAGGAAGCAATACAGCCAGACTGTGCTCTGACTCTCTGTCAGAACACAATGATACATCCTCTAAGTATTCTCCAAATATTATGTCATCTTTTTTTTTACTCTCTCACCTATAATACTTTCATTTAGCCACTGTTTCCCTAGCTTACATGTAAAAGCATCCTGTGAAATGTTTTAAAAGTTTACTAACCTCAACAGATTATTCTTCTAAACATTGTTAATACATAGCCCCAGAAGACAAACATCTTTTAAATTACCTTTTTTGTTTGCTTTTATGGACTTTCAACAATTACACTTTCTCTTTCTACCCCTAAATTACGACTCAGTTAGCACTCACGTTAGCTGGTAACCATATCATGAGACTCCTACACTGACAAGTTTATGAGGATGCAGCTTTCAGGGCCAGTTTGGATCATGAGCACTAAGACACCCCAGCAAGTACATAAGCTAGTGATCTCTACTAGACCAAAAATGCTGGGAAGAGCCAAGGTGGCTCCACACGAGAGTGTCCTGCAACCGCCTCTCTGTATGCTCCACATTTTTCCATCACCTGAGGTATTCCAGTTCCTCTCCCCATTACACAGAGCTAACTATGTATTTTAAACACATTCACACCTGTTGATCACTTGCTGGCTTATTCTCATATCTAGGTTGAATTACTTTTTTTGTCCCTTGGCTTTCTCATCTGTTCCAGTTCTAGTCAGTCAATCTTCTTCCTCACCTACAGAGTCACTAACTGAAACCTGAAGCTGAGAAAAATAAATAAAAATAAATCAAAACTAGAAGAAAAGAAATGCCTGGAGCCAACAGTTTGGACTCTAAAGTGCCTGGAAACCACTTTTCCATTTTGTCCCACACAGTGACATTTTCCACCTGACACCCACACAGATCACTAAATGTCTCTGGGCAATTCATCCTGTGTTCTTCTTCCAGAGACAGCTGGTAGACTCCTAAGCAGAGTCATAGAATATTTGGTCTTGTCAGCGGATTCACGGGTCAAGGCGGGGTTTATCCTCAAAGATCTGTGAAATCCACGGGTGAAGGTTTGAATCCACGGACAGTTGCATGAGGCACAAACTCCACTGTGCTGCAGTCTTGACTGTCGCCACTTCAGCAGACTCTTTCCATAATTCCTTCAAGAGATGCCAGTCCATATACACCTCTAAAAATAGCTGACATCAAAGATAAAATCTGTACACTAACAATGTCAGCATCAAATCCCAAAAGGATTCTGCTCAGATTTGCCAGATAATGAAGCCAGATGGGGCAGGCTGTCTTGGCCTCATCACCTCTCTCCTGCTTCAGGTCATGGCTATTTGAAATGCAAATGCATACACACACAGAGAGAGGCAAAGGAAAGAGGTTAACACTGCTCATAAGCTAAAGCACCAGTGTATTTTTCTTTTTTGACACAAGTAAGTATTAAGCCTCCCTTCCCCTCAACTTTTACAGTAAAGACTAGAACTAATTTTATGCAGAGGAAAACAGATTAAGCTTTAAGGCAAACAGCAGGATTTGGGGATTTTTTGTGCTTTGGGTTTGTTTGGTTTTTTTTTTTTTTTGACAAACTGAACTATATACTAAATGAGCAATGTGGCAAGATAGGCAGTGCATGGCTGAACAGTTACTAGATTACTACACAATGTTATGAGAAATTAAGTCAAAATCCGAGTAAGAAACCAGTACAGAAATTCAATAATCCCATTGCCGAAGTTAATTGCCCAGCATGCTTTATAATCTCAGAATTAATACTAAATTTTAAAATAACAGCACCAGCACCTTTATTCATTCAACCAAGCACGCAATGCGACACATAGAACAAGAAGACATGACTTCCGCTCAGGAAACCTGATCCTAGGTTGCATTCATTTCCTAAAAGCAAATGAAATATAACCTACCAATACCTCCTGAGCAAATAAAAGAGCAACTTGAAGCGCTGTGACTCAATCAAGGTATCGTAAACGGCAGGGGGCAGCAGGAGCCTTCCCGGAGCTTTGTTTCATTCCTGAATACCCTGCATATTCTGCGCTCTTATCTTTTCATATCCTTGTAAGTGGCCTTTTTTTTAATATACCCTGAAGACTAGGTTCTGTCATCCTCTTCATTATGGGCTATCAGAAGGGGCTTAAGCTGCTGGCTCCAATGCAGTTATGAGTGACAGGATGAAGGCAAACCAGGCTTGGCGAATCTCAGGAGAAACAGAAACGCCCGTGCTGACTAAGCCCCAAAACACCAGAATGTACGAAAGGAGATGATTTGATATTGTAATTGTACTTCACTGGACCAGTCTTACGGACAATTCAGATTCATAGGTCTCCCTTAAGATTTTGTGGTAGTCTATATAAACTGTTCCATTTTCATGCTTTTAAAACCAAACAGGGACTACACTGTGAGAGCTTGTTAAATTAATAACTAAGTAAGCAAGCTGCCACAATGAAATTAATTCCTTGTGGCACAGGGGCATATCTAAACATCTTGCAACATAATCCTATTTATTTTCACACATAGGGTTTCAAGGGTTCACATTTGAGCATTAATTTTCCTTTTTTAAAACTGTAAAAGGAAGAACATTAAAATAACAGAAATGGCTTTGCATGAAGAATAAAAAATGGGGACATCAAGCAGCACAAAGTCACAGACTAAAAATGGTACTTTGAGATTTATCCTCTGTAGTTTCCCCTGCTGCACGTACTTCACAAAACAATAAATATAATGCAAATAAATAATTGCTTATGAACCAATAATAGTGCAACTGCAAAAATGATTAATGCCGTGTAGAACCGGTATCCTGAAAAACCTCACCAGAGTTAACACTGAAGTAAAGCGAATGGCTCTGAATTAGCATGCAGAACAAGGCATGTCTTCCTTCACAAAAGTGAAGCTGCTCTCATGAAATTTTCATAATGGTGCTGGTAATCTGCTTACCTGCAGCAAAGAGCATGACTGCAACCGGTCTGTAGAACCGCCTCCGAGATCCCACGCAGATAGAGATCAACCCAACCAGGAAAGCTATGAGAATGATGGCAGCACCACCCAACAGCAAAGCAAGAGTAGCTATCTGCCAGTCTAGGGGAAAAAAGGAGATGGGAAAAAAATAATAATACCATTTCAGTAAAACAAGCCCATATGCTTGACAGAAACATTAGAATATGAGGAATGCACAAAGGGTGGGGTAAATAAAAAACTGTGCTTTGGATTTCTTTTCTCCTAATTAGGGAAACACCTTTATACAACACATGCAACTCAGGAGCAAAGTGCTGCAACCTCCCACACTTTTTTCAAGGCTTAGTTGGCCTCATTGGGATTTTGGCTCAAGCAAGACCGAATAATTTGGTCCCCTGGTTTTTGTCCAATCTAGAATGAGAAATTGAGGCTGGGTCAGGATTAGCTAACATGTGTTAGCTGATTCCCAGTCTGTCATAACTTTCTCACAGAGAGAGTGAAAGTCAAAGCTCTGCTTGAGCTGATTAGGGTGACATAGGAAGGGAAATGCATGCAGGCTCGTCAGATACACTTGTCACTTGGGAAGTATCAAGGCCACGTAATATGAGTAACAAAACTAAGGTAAAGAAAGGAGATGCTCAAAGGAATTGAAAAAAAAATGCAGTTACAAACAACATCCTTGCAGTCTTAAATCACATAAAACAAAATCCATTTCCAAGCTGATGGACATCTTTATCGTCCAAGATCTAACTTAAGAGCTTCTGTAGGATTTTAGAAAGGCATGGGCTTTCTGCTGTCTCTCTTTTCAAGAGAGTATATAAGACCTTGTCTCTCTCCAATGACACGGATCAAGAAAAATAATCTGATCACTATTTACTGTTTATATGTACTCTTTATCACTAGTATTTAGTAGTTCAAGGAAGATGATCTAAAAACAGCTTCTGGGAAAAGGACCTATAGATCCAGTACATCTCTCATTACTTTGAAAATACTAGCACTCATACAATATTCAGAACAAAATGTCCAAATGCATTACATAGTTCAAAGAAAATAAGATTAATTATTTCCGAAATATATTTAGAGATCTTAAGATTACTAAAATAAGAATGACAATAAAAATCCACATTCTCTGTTTGAAAAGAGCAAAATTCAGTGTTTTAAAAAACAGTACATCCAGTTTCAAGAAGGATCTAGTCTGCTGAAGATACCAACAGTGCATCTGTGGGGTTTGGAAATGGAAGGCTGGCAGCGATTATCACCAAAAAGCCTTCATATAGTGTATGAAAAAGGATGAAGGAGATTAAAAGAAGAAAGTGAACAGAAGAGCTATAAAAGCATTGCTAAAAAAGAAAGTTATTTTAAAGGCGTGTTTGTGTAAGTAGACATGTTTATTTTCATTCCTTTTAGAAATCCAGGCGTGTTGTTTACTAATACTTTAATTACTAAGTACTCAACCTTTCAAGCTCTGATACTCCTTGTTTTCTTTCTGGACCAAAACCCAAGGCTGGGAACAATCTCTCATTTTCCTACCTTGAGAATGCAATCTTTAACATCAGTTTGCTCTGGGTCCCACTGTTTTACTATTATCAAGATGGAAATATGATTTTTAGTTATGGATGGGAATGCTACGAAGAGTAGTTTTTAACGTTGACATGATCCTTCAGAAACACCAAGTGGTTAGTGTACTGATGATTTAGAGAGTATTCTTCCAATATCAGCATGCATTACAGATATAAAATACAGAAATAAATAAACAGAATGGACCACTTTGGAACAACATGAAAGGAATCCTTGCACTAGAAAATTACACAGATACAAAGACTAGACACATAAATCCATATCACCCCAAAGTTAAAAGCCATACAAAATTGATTAAATAAATCAAAGTGCCAGACAGCAAAACTCAGAAACCAAGATTTTTGAAAGCCACTACAAATAATAAAATATTAAATGTTAGCTTTGCATTGATCAGATGCCAAAGTCTAATGCAAACGAAAGGTGTGCAACATTGGAGTAGTAACTAAATGGAAAAAACATTGAGTATCCCACTGCTTTCCAAAACCACCTTGGCAAGACCACCAAACAAGTGAAAATAACTAAGGCATAGATGATATAAGCGTGAGGTTAGAATACAGTTTAACTTCCAGGACAGATATATCTGTGGATTTTGGAAAGGTTAAAAAATAAACAAACTACCTTACTGTAGTGGGACAAATTAGTGTTGGAAGACACCTACACTCCCAACTAAAAAAGAACTTAGTTAAACAAAATTAATTTCTTGAGTAAGAGAACCTACTCAGTGGTGTTGACGGTAAGACAAAACCGAGGCTCTTAATGTTCTTCACTACTAGCTGAAGATCAGGTACTGAACATTGTGCTCTGGGCCACAATGTCTGGAATTGCCTCTATTTTAGCTCCAGCCTCCATACAATGCTACCAGCCTTTACCTTGAGCTGCAGCTGAGAGGGATGCTGGTTAAAGAACATAATGAAGGTCGGACATTAGTGTACAAATAGTACTGGGCTGAATTTTCCTATATTGCCTACCATGGAAACTACATGTTTAAACTTCCTTGTCCTCTTAGAAAAACCTTAACTTCCAATTCGGAAAGCCATTTGATCTGGTGACAAAATAAAGCTTATGTTGGATTAAGGAAGTAAAACCTTCTGCATGGGCCTTATACTTAACAGCAATTATTTTTTCTTAAAAACCCAGGCCACTGGACTTCATACAAAAGAAAAGAAACATCCAAAGAAAATTGAATCACTACCTCTGAAGGAAAAACACCCTTGTAAGTTAGATAGCTACAATATAACCACATACAGCAACCACAGTTTTCTACGATAAAAATTTGTACTTTTCCTCGGTCTACCCAGGAGTGATTTATAACACACAGCATCAAAATGGGAACAGCAGATTGCTCTGTTACACAGTGTTACTGGTACACAGAACATAAACATCATAAACCTACTTTAGAGTATCCAAAATATGCTTGCACCATTTCTAGGCATGCACCAATCTTGCAAATAAGTTACTATACTCAGTTCCAGCCTCAGCAGTTCAGTGAGACCGCTTGTACTCATAGAGATAGAAACATGCATAAACATGAGCAAAATGGGACCTTATAGAGATAATTATTAGTGTCCTGGATTCAAAACACAATTTGGTTACACTTTAAGAATGCACATCAGTATTTTTCACTGTACATCACTACAGTTTATTTATATCACATATCCACCAAGAAAAACGTTAGGAACTAGTAAAATTGCAGTCCCAAAAATCTTAATAAACTTTTAGATTTTAAAAAGCACTGTTGTCTCATAGTCATGCCCAAATTAAGTTGCTTTGTTGGTTTCTAACTGTAGGATCAAAAGAAAGCGTAACTAGATTTTTTTCAGTGTTCCACCATTTTAGCAATATGTTAAGAATTGCACTGATAATGCCACCTATCCTATCCGAACAACTAGAATTAATAGATTTCTGACAATCATTAAGTAACTCAAGACAGATTTCTTAAGAAAAGCCTCACTTAACGTGTACTATTTTTAGGTCTGAAAAGCCAAACGTGTTTTTGTACTGCACAAGCAGCATCACAACGTCTATAACCATGGGAAATATACAGTGCAGTTCTGATGGTGATTATAGTGTTTGCATAATTTTTATTTTAACAATCTGCCTATTAGTTTAGGGATGTGGATTTCAATATTTGGAAGCATGTATAAATAAGAACCTAGGTACTTAATACATATTTTCAAAACATATATGGTGGAAAATTTATTAAAAGTACCATCTTCAGTAAATAAATAAATAAATAAACAAACCCCAAAACTATGTTGATAATGTTTCTTTCCAGTTAATCCCTCATGCATAAGTGAGTGCCTTTTTGTAAGGACAGCTTGGTCTCATTGCTCTTTGGAAATTCTGCCTGTTTCTTAATGATACGGAAGCACAGTGTTAATTGCACATTGAAATGTGTGACTCTCCTCCCTTCTTCCCCCCAAATGAAATGACCTAAGGCTTTAAGCTGTGTATTCATTTTTAATTAAGAGCAGCTCTATCTGCTCTCTTTCTTGGGCAAAATAATACTTCAGGACTAAGATAAAGTCAGGAAAAGCCATAAAATAAGGAGAAAACATCTCAAAGTTCCGAAATGTTTATTTTAATAACTAGGTCATTTTTTAACACAAGAAAGAGCAACACAAAGGCATTATCATAGATTTCATTTTCAGCAAGTTCCCCAGAAATTAAATGCGTTATCTACACAGTATTCTACAGTAAAAGAAGTGGTGGACGTAAAAACATACTGTGCAATACGTGAAACATTTGTGTGTAGGGCTCTTTCAGATAATATAAGTGAAACGAATTCACTTCTTAAGAAACAATCAAGCATTCCTTTCTTTCATACAATGGTTCTCCATAAGTCCTCTCCTCACAGAGGCTGAAGTAAGAAAATGCAGGCAGATGTTACATGATGAAGGTAGTGACTGACCTTCTTTAGCACTAAACAAAACCTTGGTAAGAAACAAAACTCAACAACCCTCTTAGGTAAGTTTTTCTGATTCATTGCAAAGCTGCCACTTACCACTTATCACTTTGGCTGCCCTCAGCCAAAATATTCTTAGAAATTGTAATATAGCATTTAAATTCGAGAATAATGAATCTGAAAAAAAGTAAAGCATAGAAGGTTGAGGCACCCACGCATAAGAAATTAAATATAACCCACTGAATGTCATAACAATCAACTAAGATAAACAGAGATAATCCTAATTGCTTCATATTCAAAACTATTTCTAAGTTTATAAACACTCATCAACTTAGCCACCAAATAGCCAATGTAAGTTTAAAAAGCGTAGTGATTATATAAAAACACAAAGGTAGAATCTAGTTTCTAAAAGTGCATTTATCCCACAATCAGTAAGATCTCCTCTTTCTTCAGCACGATCAGACACGCAGACTTCAGTGGAAGGCCATGCTTCATTGAATTCAGTGGAAATACAGAGATAAAATAAGTACTGCAGTCACCATTACGTTCTCACATAAAAATATTCCACAGAGAAGACAGTCCTTTGAAACCGCACCTGAGCCAAAATGATGTTTTTTTAAGAAGCTGCTCACACGAATTC